CTGAAATGAGAGACACCTATTGTGTCGTCAAAGTGTAAAAACAATAAAAGTTACAAATAATTAGCAATTTATAAATAACTAGATTTATGGACACAATAGTTGGGAACCGCGAGGAATCTCTCCTACAGGCATATGGATAACATGTGTAATGGTATATCAAAGAATAATACTAATCCTATGGACAATGTTAAGTCTATGACATAGGAATAACATGAGTAATGCTAAGTCTATGGACAATGATAAGTCTATGGCATATGGATAACATGTGTAATGGTATATCAATGGGACAATTAATGGGATTATTAATGAATCTGCCATAATCTATGGCACTGCTAATCCTATGGACAATGTTAAGTCGATGACATAGGAATAACATGGGCAATGCTAAGTCTACGGGACTAATGCTAAGTCTATGGCATAGGGATAACATGAGCAATGCTAAGTCTATGGCATATGGATAACATGTGTAATGGTATATCAATGTGACTATGGGATTATTAATGTATCTGCCATAATAAATAGAACAAATTGTTGTCAAAAACATTTAAAATTCTTAAAATAATAATAGTGAAAGTATTCCAACAATAGTATTGAAAAATTTAAAATCTTTGATGCATTTCCCGAATAGTGGTTAACGTTTAGCATCGCTGTGTGATCCTTGTTTATTTTTACCAATTATTTACACAATTAATAAACAGTGTATTTACAGCTTAAGTCAAAGAAGTCAAACGAAATATTTTTAACCACAATTCAGTATGAAGAATGTGGTTTATAGGATCGTTCAATTTGACCATTTTTATCTTGGTATCATAAAATATATGTTCTGAGTAACTGTTACCGCAAGTCATGCACCCTTCAGGGTGAGTTATAGATTCATAATACATTTCCCGAATAGTGGTTAACGTATAGCATCGCTGTGTGATCCTAGTTTCTCTCTATTTCTTTTTTATTAATTCTATCCCACTCTTTCGTTTTTAAAGTATACATATATATTTAAATAACGAACTTATTATAAATAAACAAAATTTACATTTCTATTTGGAAGGAAATATTTTTCACGTGACATCTCCGCGAATTCTTCCGCATCCTTAACGGATTCAAACACGAAAGGTTTAATAATAACCACTTTTCCCGATATTTCCGACCATTTCTTTCCAACCCTTAGTTTCAATCGATTGTCATATACTTTCTTTTTAGATGAAAGATATGTCGAAAACATACGAATTCTGTCAAACATCTTGTGCAAAATCTCATCCATATCTGTAGCCACCAGTCCTTTACCGGCAAATTCTATCATTTCATTGACTATATATCTAACTTTTGCCTTTACATCCGACTCCTTTTTCAATTCACGAATTAATTTGCCATGATACGATTCTGGCAAATCTTTAGCTATATAATCTAGTATAAAATTCATGATTGTAGTATCGCTTAAAAACTCGCTGTGTTTGCTGTCAATGACATCCACTATAATGGCTTTCCCTACCACTCCGTTCAAAACTAGTTTAACGCATGCAATGCTGTTATCAAAATATCCTACAATATCGTATCGGCCGCTTGGCTCAAGCGTTTTCATTATGTTTACATAATATTGGTTAATGTCTTTAAAAGTGGTCATTTCATTCAACTCTCGGGTCCAATTGATGCCAATCACTGGTCGATTTATTTTATTGGCCAATTCCTCCATATCACCAAAACTAACTAATAGGGGTGGCATGAAATACACGGGCACACCATAGCAAACATGGTTTAGCCGAACGTATGTTTCGCTGGGAATCAAAAATTTATTCTTTACAAAACAATCCGTGGCTTTCTTAATATGATCAATATGCTTTTTAATGTCCACCATATTTCCAGCATCGTAGTCCTTCAACATTCTAACCGTTATATTTTTAATAAATATTAACGGAAAAATTTCATTCAATTCTCTCTCCAACTCTTGTTGCAACTCAACTGCAAACAAGGATTCGATCCCAATCTCGCCAAGAGTTAAATCATTGGGAGTATTGTTAGAGTCGACGCCTAAGGATCGCCACAATAAATTCACAATACTTTTGCCACGATTTTTGCTCAATTCTTCATTTGCCTCCACTTTAAGCTAATAAATTTAAACATTTATAGCTAATTATAATTTTAATATATTTAAGCAAAATAATTTAATATTAATAATATATTAGACTTTACATATGATGTGACAATCGGTTGTTTAATTGCCAGCAATTTATCCAAAACATCACAACAAGAGTTAATTCGCTGTTTTTTCAAAGTCTCCGTCATTAAGAGATGATTACTGCTTTCAAATACTCCCACATCACCGATGGGTCCGAATTGTATGGCGAGTCCGTGCAGACCATCCCTACGTCTCTCTTCACATATTCGCTCACACATGGAGTTCCCGAACGCATAGTTCGATTGCCCGGCGTTTCCTTTACCACAAGCTATGGACGAAAACACTACGAAATAATCCAATGAATAGTCCAATTGTCGGCTCAATTGATCCAGATTTGCAAATATCTTGTGTTTTGTATCAATAGATGAACAAAACTTTTCAAACGATATATTTTCTATCAAACAATCATTTAATTCAAGCGCCAAATGAAATACACCTCCAATCGGTCCCAACTCTCTGGCCTCGTGTAACAGTTGTTTTGTGCCTTCAATTGTCAATCCATTGGCAATCGAAACAATCCATTGTATCTCAAAAAATTTATATTCTTTTGACATATTGTTGAGACGATTGTAAGCATACTTTTGATATTTGGTCTGAAGACCTGATCTCGAGGTGACCACAAACTTTCGGGCGCCGAAGTATTGCATCCATGGAATCAATTCCAGACCAAAACCACCCAAACCTCCGGTTATTATATAGACTTTGTTTGGATTGAAATATGTTTTAACGGTTACCAAACGATTGGGAACCGATTTTATTTTCATAACCGATTTTCTCTCCATCTCTTCGTTTCTCATTTTGATGACAATCTTTCCGATGTGTTTACCGGTTGTCATATATTGAAGAGCTTTCTCCACGTCTTTGGCAACAAAACACTTGTAATCCAATGGTTTTACACAACCGTTCATTGAATTCTTATGCAACCATCCATAAAACTCTTGTAAATAATCATGGTCATTCACCATTACAACATCAACAGCAACACCGATAAATTCAATGTCACCAAAAAAGCCATACATTCCTAACTGTTTGTTTTGAATCATATCATACTTTCCAATCTCTACGAAACGGCCGCTAATCGCCAGACAATCAAAACCGGCCCTTAGTTTATCACCTGTAAGTGAATTTAACACAACGCTAACTCCCTTACCGTCCGTTGCATCCATTATCTGAATTTTGAAGAGTATATCTCTTGAGTTAAATATCTTATTCTCCGGTATATTGTATTCATTCATCAAAAATTTTTTCTTCTCTTCCGTCCCGACCGTCGCATAGATATCGCATTCATAATGTTTACAGACATTGATAGCCGCCTGACCCACATCGCCGGCGGCAGAGTGTATTAAAATACTTTCGCCTATAATGTTAAAAATAACTATTACCGTATTACGCTGAATATAGGTGAATGCAATTATAAGTGAATTTCACAAATTTCAGCAAAACTACCCCACCTATATCAGGATATAAGTGCAATCCTTGTGTAAAAATTACATATAAATGCACTAAAATTTATTCGTCAAAATATTTTTTATAAAAATTTTATAAATTAGTGTGACGGATGTCATACATCCACGTAGAATTTCAACCTATAATATTTAAATAAATAAACCCTATATTCCATTCCTAAAAAAAGTTTTTTTTAACTATTGTTTAAAAAATTATATAAATTAATTGAATAGTTGCTATAGTTATTATTAATTTACATATATATTCATTTCAAACATTAGAAGTCACATTTTAAAGTTCAAAGTTTAATACTAAATTATATGATATTCTAGTCAAGTTATATTAATTCTAACAAATGATTAAGTATTATAATGTATTTCTATGAGAGACTTGTTCTATTGGTATAACTGATATATGTTTGCCTTTGGATATTTCTATTGTAGCTAGGATAGTGAAATTAATTTTATAATTTAAGGTAACATTCCTAGGCACCAAAAACCAAGTTTAATAAAGATCGGATAAT